TTTTTTTTTAACTGGAATTTTCAGCATGTTTAATGAGGCTGTTGAGAATCTGCCTCGCAATGCCAGATTCCTGCCTTCTCCAATCCTTTCATGTCTTTGCAGCATTGCTGAAATGTTTAGAATGAACACAACAGCGCAAAGACAGATTTCTGCTTTCATGACAGCGTTTAGTAAGTTATCATGAACTTAAAGTTCAATTACATGACTGAACTTCAATGCAAGCAAGAGCCTTACATGCAGCTGAGGGGCTGGGGCATGAATGTCTGCCATTATTTGCACTTGCCAGTATGAAAAATTAATCTTTCAGCCTTTCTCCTCCAAGTTAACGTGCTCCTTTTATTATGTCTGTAGAGGGCTAAGAAAAAATAAGTTTTTGAAAAAATATTTAATATAACTGTCAAGACAGAAGCCGTCTCACTACACAGATTAAATGTAAAAGAAAAACTGTACTGAGAGGCATTATAAATGCAACACTACTGGTTCCAAAACTAACTTGTTGCGTTTTTAATGCCTTTCAGCATAGTTCTATATACTATACAGTATCGTATATTGCTGTCATCGCACACATCTATAATAATCCAAAACTACAGCTTCTAGTCCATTTCATAGCAGTTGGGTTATTTGTTACTTGTTTATTTGATCATTAATTCAGCAAAATAGATGGTATACAGCTGACAGAAATATGTTTTTTTATGTACAGTACATAAGAAGGGAAAGCACGTGGTTAAAAAATGGACAGTGAAGTAAAAAGAAAAAGAGGAAGTCTGTAGACTTAACATGCAGAACAGACTCACTAAGGAGACCGAAGCATCACAAGTTCATCTCCTTGTTTTTAAAACTCTCCTCCACTCTCTGGATTGTTCCCCCTCGTTTCAGCCAGCAGGCATATGGGATGTCTTTCATATACATGACACTGTAGATTAAACATCTAAATTAGTATTAAAAACCCACTGCTCATAATGTTTAATCCTGCTACAGAAGTCATATTTTCCTCTCACCCATTAACTTGAACTGAATTTTCAGGGAAGGATTTAAAGCAGAGTCTGGCATCCTGGTGGGTCCTCATCTATGGATTAATTTGCTCCACCACAGGACTGTGGTCTCTCTAAACAGCTACTCTCTCTCACCTCAGGCCACTTCCTGGGGAATAATAGCGTGCTGGACATCCTGCGGCAGGAGGGCTATGAAGTGGAGCACGTCTCCCCAGGACAGTCAATCACAGGGTGAGT